CACGCTGGATCCTTCAGGCTGCAGGATAGTATGCATATGCTTTCACGTTCCTTACTGATTTTTGGATTTACGCCGAGTGAATTTGGGAGACAGGTTTGAATGGATTCCCTGCCTGGCAATTTGTCAGATCACACAGGCTCGTTTACCACAAAACAGTCTCATCCTTTTCGATGCTCCAATTCAACTTCTCAGTTTGAAACGAGGGACTAGGGAAGGAGGGAGATTCAGTTTTGAAATGTTTCTTTTGTTATTAGTTTGGTTGCAGCTGCTGGAAAAACACCTCTCTCGTACCTTTCCCCCTGCTTAAATTAAATGGCAAGGCAGAGCACCTGCCATTTTTCCCTAAAAATTTGTTACAAAGAGAGCTTTACAGCCCCTTTGGCACAGCTCATCCAAAACTAGTTTTTCCTGGCTTCTAGTTTATTTTAACCCCGGCTTACAAAAACGGCTTCACGCTACAGTGCCTCGATTTACGCAAAATAGATGAAGCCGAAGCCGGCATAAGCCGTGCCAAAGAGACCCTTAGTGTTGGCTACATAGAAGAGAAAAGGTGTGCAGTTGCAGTCGTCCGTAGGCCTATTCTTTCTAACAGATCCACTGGTGTGGAACATGCAGAAATGCAGGTTGCCAAGAGGCAAACAGGGGTCCAGGAACAGTTGCCATTGGATCGCCGGGCTGCACTTCATGGGTTGGCAAGGGACCAGTAAGGATCCCAAAAGCACTGAGCTGATTGTGTTCCCTTTTGCATTGCCAGAGACCAATGATTTGGAGCTCTCTCTCCTGTTTGCAAAATAATCACGTTTTCACAATAATTTATAAAATGAAGATGCAAATGATGCGCAACGCCTCTTGTGTATTCGAGAAAAAAAAAAAAGATGCAAATGATGAGATGCAATAATACGAGACATGTCTGATGTGTCAACTGCTGGTAGGACTGAGGGTCCTGCCTGAGTTGCTACGGAGGTTGTAGGGTTGGAAGAGCGGAGGGCGAGGGCCTGGAGCTCGGCGGCGGCGCGTGGGCGCTGTGATGGCTCGCGGCTTAGGGCTGAGGCGTGGGGAAGAGGGTGGCTAGGGCTCCCATAGTTCCTACAAGTTTTTATTATCACTAATTTAAGTTGAAATTCTAGTCCTTATATATATTTATTCAAATTCTCAGGATGTGCTTTGTATTTAAAAACTAGCAAGTTGGCCTGCGAAAATAGCGTGGGTGGCTAGTTTGCTTATTATGGTATTTGGATTTTTTATTTTTATTTTTTGCAAATTTGTTTGTTTCATTGTAATTGTTTTCTCTCGATGCGCCTTTATTCTATCTATTGGCGTGAACTCCTGAAGTGTGTGACTTAAACCTATTGTTATCTCTTCCCTTTTTTCCTATTACTATCACGTGATGAATATGCAATTTCACATGTGGCCAAATTGAGTAGTCTTCGAACTGAGCCCTATCACAGATACAAACCACTTTTTAAGTCTTTATCTAATCCCTTAGCTTTCTTATAGATTTAAATTCAAGATGATCTTGCTTCTTTATTATGGATCTATAATTTCTTTTTTCTTATAGTATCATTTGATTCATCACAATGCTTTTCATGCTTTGTAGTCATCCGCTAGGGGCTTGACACCACTGTTTAGTTCCGCATAATCATGAGTCTAACTTAACAGGCAACATATATAGTGAGTTGTTCTTTGTCCTTTTAGTTGTCTCATAGTAAACCATAATTTTTTTTTTTTCGAGAACACGCCACACACATTTTTCATTAAGAGGATAACTCATAATTTCTTAATTTGTGATAGAATAAAAGGAATATTATGAATTGCACGGCAATCATAACTCATGTCATTCTTGTTAAAAGTAGAATCCTCTTTTTCTCCTAATTAAAAAGTAAAGCTCCTGCCATTGTCGTTAAAAGAGAGAGAGAGAGAGAGAGATTAGGCTGCAGTTGTGCAGGAGAGAGAGATAAAATGCCGGCGCATAGTCATAAAGTTCCTAGGTCAAGGAAGATGAGGAACAGGGTCGAGGAATGAGAGTTTTTTAATCAAGTAACTCTACGTATCTACTCTCCTCCGTAAAAAAAAACAGAAATCTAAGGTTCAAAGCTAGAATTGTGTTTTTTTTCTGGACGGAAGGAGTATGTGCAAAACTACATTCCGGATCAAGGATCCATGGGTTCCACCCGTTTCCCATCTTATGGAAAATTTTCTGTCCAGTTTGGGTGTTGCCCAAGAACTGCACACCATCGGCCTCCAGTTACTGAACGGAAATTTTCTGTCCAGTTTGTCAGCACTCACAGCACAGCAGAGCGAGCGGCCGAGCACAGCTCCAAATGGGGCAAAGTTTGTGTTTAGATTCTGATGAAGCGGGACAATATTATTCTGCAGCTCTAGTGTAATTTGGAGGGCCTCGTCTCTTTCAACCACCGGCTCGCCGGGATCTGTGAAATGAATTCAGGTTTTGATCCCCGCAGTTGACTTAGGGTGTGTTTAGATTCAAAATTTTTTAGGTTTTGGCTGGGATTGTGTGAAATGAATTCAGGTTTTGATCCCCGCAGTTGACTAAAAAAGCAATATTCTGCAGCTCTGCTCAGCCTTGTATGGAAAATTGGAGATGGACTGACGCCCTGGCTGATGTGAAATCTCACGTCTGATCGCTTGGACTCAGTCTTTTTTTATCAAAATCTTGACACCGCGTGTGGTACACAGGAGCAGTACCTGTGTCAGTTGGTGACTTCACTGACTGCACTGCTTTTGACGCATTTTGGATACGATCAGATGGGTAGCCTTAAAAATGCAATATTCTGCAGCTCTGCTCAGCCTTGTATGGCCTGACGCCCTGGCTGATGTGAAATCTCACGTCTGGTCGCTTGGACTCAGTCTGACACACAAAATCTTGACACCGTGTGGTTTTTAAGTTTGAAGGAGCAGTAAATATGATAAAAAAATAACTGACTGCACTGCTTTTGAAGTTCGCAGGACTGAATACGATCATAGTTGGTAGCGCAGTGGCAATATTTAAAAATAAGAGGAAAATGTTTAGATTCATCATCCCAAATTTTTTGCAATCTAAGGCTCTGTTTCACATCAATTTTTACCGGGAAAAACATGGAGTATTAAATGTGGAAAAAAAAAAAATAACTAATTATAGAAAAGTTTAAAATTTAGTTTGGTTATCAAGTATAAAAATACATTTTATTTTATCTCTCTTGAAACAACTATTGAAGAGCTTTTTTTCCATCAAATAAGAAGCGAAAAGTAAAAGCCAATTCATCGGGTTGAAATTTTTTCGCAATCTAAACGAGGCCTAGTACACATGCATGCAGCAAAATGCTGGTTTTCAGGTTTGTGTTGTGGTGTTGCCTTTGCCCCGGATGCTGCCGAACTGCATTTCGAGTACCAGTGTAGACCGTTGGTTTGTGTTGCGGAAGCTGCATTTCGATTACAACTCTGATGCATACTGGCTCTGTCCGTAAAAGAATACAAGTATAGATTGAATGTCACTTTTGTGTGCTTCACGTTTTATCTAAGTTATAGTAAATAATATTTATATTTATGGCACCAAATTAATTTATTATGAAAAATACATTTTGTAATTAATCTAATAATATTTATTTTATATTATAAATATTTATTCTTTTTTTATCTATAATTAGTCAAATGTGATATACTAAAACATGATATTGTTCCAGAATTATGTTCTTTTGAGGACGGAGGGAGTACCTTAAGAATCAAACTTTATAATCTTTAAAATTTAAAATTAATGATTTCATCAACAACTTTTATCTACGGAGTATTATAATACAAACTTAATACTATTAGTTTTTCAATAAGCTTATATTAATAAATAATACTATAATATAAAATAAATGAATAATTAAAATATAATTAGAAAACTACGTTATGTTAAACTACGTCTTATATAATATAAAATGAAACGGGGAACATCCTAGCTTGTAATAGTTTTAGCCGTCACCCATGTTGACCCTTTAGCTCAATCATGTTCCGAGCCGAAGTGACATCTCTTTTTTTACGAGAAAAAGTGAGGCATTTTATTACTCAACAATGTAATTATAGTCCCGAGCTAATATCCTCGATACAAGTCGGCATTAAGAACCGCCAAATGGCCGAGTATATCATGAGTGACACGCACTCCCTTTGTCTCAAATAGTTATCATTTTAAATACAAATCTGGACAAATATTTGTCTAGATTCATGGCTAAAGTCTTAGTTATTTTAAGACAGAAGGAGTACGTTATGACATATTTAAGATGCATTGTACATATGTTCTTGCATGCAACCAATCACACAAATACTAGTATTTGCACATGTAATTCCCTAGCTAAGTCACACGTAATACAATAACTTTGCATCATAGATCATACGAAGTGGTTTTTATTTTTATTTTATTTTTGCAAAAAGGAATAAAGTGTTTTTTAATTACGTTCTATAAAGAACATAACAAAGTCAGCAATATAATAAAATTTCTATTTGATAAATATCACATTTTATCTTTTTTTTTCTAACTTGCAGACATTGGGACTTGGTAACAACCGAGAAAAGATTGGATGTACATGTTAAAAGAGAACTTTTAGAAAATCCAAATTCTAAGATGATGGATATCTAAGAATGGAATTCATACTTACAAGCATAATGAGTATCTAAGATGATGAATAACACTATTGTTTAGTTTCTGTGTCTTAGGAGTTTTACCAAGCAAACCTCAGAGATCCTTTCGGCTACGAAGCAAAGGGGTATTTTGTGTTACAAGGTCAAGAACGATGGAAGTAGGACATTTTAAAACCAAGAGTGGTGTAATTAATAATACAATTTGTGTCCGAATTTTTGGATTTTTGAAGTTGTATAAAGATCTTGGGATTTTCTAAAGTCAGAGACCCCAATGGTGGCAGATCCAGAGGTGACCCAGCCTGCATCAGGGGCCCACCGGTCAGCGAGACAAAATCCTGAGACGCCTAAAACCCCATGGCGCCGCCGCCCCGTGTTCTCCATTGATGGCGGCCACCTCCACCTCCCCCCATTCAGCCGGCGGCGGCGGCACCATCGGCGACGACCTCCACGGCTTCCTCCGCTACGGCCTCCGCACTCACTCCTCCGTTCTCTGCGCACACGCCTTCCTCCTCCGCCGCGGCCTCCTCCTCGGCCACGCCGTCCCCGCCGGCCTCCTCCTCACCGCCTCCGCCTGCTCCGCCGCCTCGCCGCCCGCCCACATCCTCCGCCTCCTCCTCCACCACCTACCTCCTCCCCTGCCGGTCTTCTCCCTCGACGCTGCACTCCGCGCCGTAGGTCCCTCGCATCCCCTTCTCCGCCCTCCTCTCCCTCTTCGCGGCCCTCCTCCGCTCCCACCAACCGCTCTTCCCCGACCACTTCTCCTTCCCTCCTCTCCTCTCCGCTGCCGCCTCCGCCGCCTCCCCGCGGCTCCACCTCCGCTCCGCGCTCGCCCTCCACGGGCAGGTCCTCCGCCGCGGCCTCCTCTTCTCCCCGCCGCCCCACGCCGCCAACGCCCTCCTCCACTTCTATGCCACTGCCGGCGGCCTCTCGTCCGCCCACTACCTGTTCGACGAAATGCCATTCAGGGACATCGTGTCCTGCAACACCCTGATGACGACCTTAGCTAGCACACCAGGTGGCATTCATGCCGCACGCCAGCTGTTCGAGGGAATGCACCTGAGAAGTGCAGTGTCATGGAACATCATGATTAATGGGTATGTAAAGGCGAAGCGGCCTGAACAGGCACTGGAGGTGGTCCGGTGGATGGCAGAGGCAGGAGTGAGGGCGACGGCAACAGCCATGGTCGGGGCAGCCACGGCGTGTGCTAGGCTGGGGAGGCTAGGGGCTGGGAGGGAGGTGCACTGTGTGTTCCTGCGCCGTTTTGAGGATGATAACCTGTTGGTTTGGACTGCATTGATTGATATGTATGGCAAGTGTCGGAGGTCTGGAGTTGCAAGGAAGTTGTTTGATCGGCTCAGAATGAGGAACCTGGTATGCTGGAACGCGATGATCATAGGGCACTGTGTGTATGGTGAACCCGGTGATGGGATCAAACTGTTCCAGCATATGATCACACTGGGTGGGTTCAGATTTCCAAGATTAGTTCTTCAGAAAGCAACATATTGCTACATTTGCATTTTTGAACTTTATATATGCATCTAACTCCTGGCTGCCTTTTCAGGGAATGTGCAGCCAGATGGAGTCACTTTCATTGGTGTTCTCTGCGCCTGTGCCCGTTTAGGCCTCTTGGAGGACGGAAGGGCATATTTTGAGCAGATGAGCACCATGTACAACCTCAAGCCGACATTTGCGCACCACTGGTGCATGGCCAATCTGTATGGGAGTGTTGGGCTTCTGGAAGAAGCCGAGGGCCTCTTACAGAGTATACCAGAGGATCTGAAGGCACGGGCATTGGGTGGTTTGCTTGGGCTCTGTCGGTTCCGAAGGGATTGGAGACTTGGGGAACGGATAGCTCTCAGGTTGATTGAGCTTGAACCAAGCAACAATGCTCACTATGCACTGCTTTGCAATGTGTACGCTGCTGCAGGGAGATGGGAAGAAGTTCACAGGGTGAAGGCTATCATGAAAGAGAGAGATGAGAGGTTCAGTCCTGGACATCGTCTGGTTAACTTAAATGAGATTGTTGATGAATTCAAAATTAGGGAGAGGCAACCTGAGAATCAGGAGATATATGCCATCATGGACGACTTGGCGTCAAGGCTGAAGCTTGATTGCAAAGAAAAGGAGCAAAGTGATTTGGGAATAAAATAACTCAAATACACACCCGGGGATTGTTTTGGAGCTGCACAGGTTTCGAACGGGCAGCTTCAGGAGGTTAAGATAGGCTGGGTCTGAAGTAGTGCATCTTCAGATGTGTCATTTGTGCAGAACCACTCATTGATTATGTAGTGACAGAAATGCTTGGCATCAATAGTCGGTCGTTGCAAAAAGTGACAATTACGGTAGGGTTGAGATGGACAGGAAGAACGAAGAAGTAACAATCCTTGGGAAGCAAAGATAACCTTTCTGTTGTTGCCCTCTAATATTAACAGTGGACATTCTCCAACAAGAACACAAGTATTTTCTGTTAAAGTTTTGGTCAAATGATATTTCAGTGCTTTACATAAATGTGCGTCCGTGCCTTGCATTGTCTTGTGCTTGGGGATCTGGCTTTGAGAATAAGATTGCATATTTGCGCGGAGGTAATACTGTCGGTTTTGACAGTAGCTAAGTTACCCTGGTATATGTTTTCAGGTATTCAGCCTGTCAGGTAAAAGTATTGATGCAGACCATAGGTTAACACTTGATGTAGACAAGTTGACCACTGACCTCGCTGGCTTTGTTACTGGAATGGTAAAACCGCTTGTTGACCTTTTTTGGTGACTTATCCATTAATCTTCTTCCTCACAATGTGACGTGGGATGTGACTGTGTGAGTGTGTTATATGCTTTGGAGCACAAGGGAGACACAAGTTTGACCTCAACTCAAGGTTACTAATCTTCAGAACTCTTCTCATTTTTCATCTATAAGCATCCTGAAGAAAATTCCAGAGAATGCTGGGCTGGTGTATCTTCTAGAAAGAGAATGGTGGGATTCTACAGCAAACCGGGAACATGTTCTGTCGTTAGGAGAGCAAAGGAGGCTTGTGATGGTCAGTATTTACTGGCAGGCCTCCATTATTTTTCTCTTTTTATTTACTATATGCTCTTAAATATTTGAAAGTCACTGTCTTGTTTTTGTCAGGCTCATTGTTTTTTCATCATCTTAACTCCTAAGTTTGGTACCCTCGTCGAGTGCATCAAGTATGTATTCTATCACAATGCTCTTTTGACTTTTCCATTTTCCTTTCTCTTTGCCTATCAACTGTTGTGGGTCCTAAAATTTGTACTTGATTGCAGTGCCACTACCGTTGATGTTCAAGAACATATGTACAGGCTTGCAACTAACATGGGCACACCTGTGGTCACTTCCTCACAAGTAATTGTTTGGACAATCCCTGCGATGGCATAAAAGTTATGATGTTTGTGGATGGTTGTTTCTTGAAAAACAAATGAAAACCAAAAGGATGCCGACCGTTCTTTGTCCACACCTTTGCATTCTGTAATGAATTCATCGTGTTGAAACATTTGTATCTCGGGCACACCAGTTCCCTCCATTTTTTTACATGTCATATTAACTTTGTCCTAAGTTAAACATTTGTATCTTTAATTATGATATATATATTTTTTTAAAAATATATAGGTTCAAGGCATAAGATTTATGTATCTAGAAGAAATACTTTTATAATATATAATTCATATGTTGTGAGCTGTAAGAGTTTTTCGAAATAGATGGTCAAATAGTAATGTTTGACTTGGGATAAAGCTAATGTGACATGTAAAAATGAATGGAGGGGGTATACGACAAGCAAGACATTAAATAACATAGATGTTGCTATCGGTGCGAAAAGTGACCAACAAATAAATATTTGTAGTTTTGCCGTACGTTGTGATCGGATGTGGTCTAACACTCAATGACACAAGATTTATACTGATTCAGGCAACGTGCCCTACGTCCAGTTTCAGTCGGTCGATGACTTTATTCCTGAGCCCTGGTGCTCAAAGTTTGCTGTGGGGTTACAAACGAATAGGAATGAGAAGGGGGTGTTAGAGGCCCGGTCGGACTCTGAACCGAGTGGACCGAGAGTGACGAGGACTCTAACGTATGCTAAGTATTAGAGCGTATGCTCTGTGTCTCTAAAGCTTGTTGAGCTGTTGTGTTCTCGAGTCGTCGAGAGAATCTTCGAGAGAGAGAGAGAGAGAGCCAGCCTCGTTTTTTCAGGAGAGAACACATCCCCTTTTATAGTTGAAATGGATGACCTTACAAGTCAGAGAGAAAGAGAGAAATGTATACGTGTGCTGCCTAGTCTTGCTGCTCACGCCATCGGGTACGGGATGGCTGCCAGCGCCCACAATACTGTTTATGCCCAGACGCCGCGTCTCGGCGTGCTCTCTACCGTGTTCGCTTGCACGGGCAAACGCCGGCGCCCTACAATTCGCTTGTGGTCTGACGCGTCTGGAAGGTTGTATAGTGTCCGTCTGTCATGACCTGGAGGCACCGTCTTGCAGGTGCGCAGGGTATGGCAGGGTACGGTCCTCGATATTGCGGTTGACTTGAGCGTCTTATCTTATCTGCTCTGCCTGCTCCCCAGGCCCACAACGAGTGGGCATCCCCGGTCGATCGTTCCCAGTCGTCCTCGATCGTGTCGGCCGGGAAAGAGCAGCGAGCAGAGGTCCGGCATATCCTTGGTCGCAGAAAGGGGTCGGGCGAGGCGAGCCCGCGACCCAGAGGTCGGGCGAGTGCGGGGCCTGCCCTCAGAGGTCGGAGGTGCTGGTCGGGGACCGGATCGTGGTCTTGGCCTGTTATTGTGTATCTGGGTCGGCCCAGGCGTGTGCTGTCGTTGCGCCGCCTGCTGGGCCGAGTTTTGTAGGGAAACGGACCCATTAGGGACCCCGGGTTTATGAACCCGACAGGAGCCCCTGAGCCCCTTTGGGACTTCTGTGAAGTTGTGAAGGGATGTTGTTGGAACTTCGGTGTTTTCCCCTTGGTTTGTTGTACCGCGTAGGGTAACCGAGTAGGATTTAGGCACCCAGCCTCTATGTGGAGGACTAGCAAAGGGGATATGGGCGCCTAGCCCCTGAGGAGGAGACTCGCTAGTAATCCATTTTTCACCGGGTGCGCGCGAGCGCATCTGGTGGGTGTAGCCCTTGGGCCTGCGGCCGACTGGGGAGTCGGTCGGAGGCAGAGCACCTTGGTACTCTTTTTTGGGGCTATGGACTCTTGTGTCTCTTCCGAACAGGGTGTTCGCCCGTGTCCGTTTCGACCGCAACCTGTGCGATCGGCTAGACTCCCGAGTCAGGGTCGGGTGGCCCGAGCCCCTGAGCCCCGTTGGGCTCAGTAGGGGTCGGTTGAGTTTCGTGCGTTACCCCGTCCGTGGTTTCCGTAACTGGAGGGGTTGAGCTAACGTCGCTTGCCTCGATGGCTCGAGTGACGCGCTCGGTGAGCTCACTAACGGGTATGTCCGAGTGGAATCTAGGTCCGTCGTTCGTAACGGGGTCGGCATAGCCCTCGTGTGGCATTCCACTACTCCTTAACCCGCCTCCTAACAGATGTCTGAGCCGTTCCGGAGGCCGACTCAGGTGGCCCGCTGGCCTCCCCTCGATGGAGATTCTATGGGCATGGCTCGAGGTCAGGATCAAACGAGAAGGTCGAGATGACCCTGTCCACTTCTGAGCGGATCGGGCAAAGGCTGCTGGGGCTCATCTGTGTTTTCTTCCCTGGCTCTGTTTGATGCGAGGTAGCCTCGAGCCCTTCGCGGGCTAGCCTTCGAACCCCGATCGGTCACCGCTCATATCGAATGTGACGACTACCACTTCATGACGCGACGCGAAGCGTTGTGATGCAATAATTGCATATGCAATGCTTGGATGTATGGGATGAATATATGGATGAATGTATGAATGCATGCATGAGAATGGATGAATGTATGAATGCATGCATGAGAATGGATGAATGAATGATCAAGCACTGGAAAAGTAGAACGGGGGTTGGTAAAGTTACCTCGATGGCTTGAGAGACGGGTTCGGGGAGCTCCTATCGGATATGTCCGAGTGGAATCCGGGTCCGTCGTTCATGACGGAGGCGGCATAACCCGCATGGGGCATCCCACTGCTCCTTTCCTGTCGCTCGGCAGCCACTCGAGCCATCCAATCGACTCGGGTGACTAGTTGGCCTCTCCTCGATGGAGATTCTATCGGTGGGCCCCTCCAAACCCTACATGGGAAGGTGGAGGGTCGTTTGCATGTGGTTGCGCCTCGTTCCCCATTCTCGGGTTGTGGTAGTGGTGGGCCCTGCCCAAGCCACGTTCCGATTAGCCAGGCGACGTTTCGTCGGGCAGGCCATGTCCCGTCGGCCAGGGCCACGAACCCAAGGGGTCGGGTGTAACACCTCTGGTGTTATGATCTCGCTAAGCACTGAGATTATGGCCTAAGAGGTAGATCTATAAATATAGTGAGTTAGTTTACTAAATGCGCTAAGAAAAACCTAACAAGAAAATAGGAAAAGTAGTTTTAATTGTTTGGCACGAAAAGCAATTTCTATAAACAAGAATAAAACATAACTTGTATTGAGTACTTAAATAAAAATTGAAGTACAAGTTTAGTAGATGGAAATGCAACATTAACTTTTGAAAAATAGATGTTGTTAACTAGTGTTGTGGGAGCTCTAAAAATCTAACTTGACGTTAAGATAAGCTCTTTTCGTTAAATCGACAAACCCTTGAATTTATGTTTAAAGTACCATTTTGACGAATTATATTGAGCACAATAGTTAAAAATGCTTAAATATTTTGTTCCTATGGGTTAGTATGAAATATGGACTTCTGCGTGATATACTTATTGGGTAAAATTAAAGGGGTTTAGGCCATTTAAAAATTATAACAAAAGTGCCACTGCTCATTGCGCGCGTTCACAGCCGCTCGTCTCACCTACCTCGTCGGCCCCGCTCTCGTCCTTTCTGCACTGTTGCACCCCTCCCGTCCTGTCCTACGATGCATTAAGGAGGGCATCGAGCTGTTGTTGCCACGCACTGTCCCCATCTCTCACTCGCTCTTTCTCTCTCGGTCTGTCCCTCGCTCTGACCACCGCCATGGCCACCACCAGCTAGGGCTCTTGCCGTCGTTGCGCTCCCAGTCGTCCTTGCCCGCTCTGCTTACGTTCGTCGTGGACGTGGGCGTGAGCCCGAGCTCGGCCACCGCCGTTCTCGCCGTTCCACCCCTCCACGTGCTCGATAGCATGCACCGTCACCTTCGCCTTGCTCCTCTCCATACCCCTCGTGTGCACGCCGAAGTCCGCGCCGCCTGGAACCACCGTTTCCTCGCTGCCGCCGGGCTGTCACCGCTATGGTTGCCCACGCGCGTGGTCGGATGGCCTCGGGTCATCTTCGATCGAAGCCGAGCACAGCCTCGGAGTCGTGTTGTGGCAGAACCGCCCTAAATAGCATACTTACGGAGGCGCTCGTCTTCCTCCAGACACTAAGCACCCCGAAAATAAGCTACAGCGAGCGGTGTCCGTCGGGCACACCCCAAGGGAGAACCCGAAAGATCCACATTTTCCCAAGAATCCAATAATGAGAACGAGTTACAATACAAGTCCATTTCATACAATAGAGTTTCTTAAAAAGTACATTATTATAATACTAAATACTAGAGTGCGGAATGATAACAGCAGAATTTAAAAATAATAACTAGCGGTAAGGGGCGAGGATTCCGTCTGAGCCCACTAGAAGGATCCTCCACACAAAGGTACTCTTCAAGCATCACCTGCAACAGGGATAAATAAACTCTGAGTACACAATGTACTCGCAAGACTTATCCGACTAGTGGAAATAATTTCCCGACTCCAAGGAATATGATAGGCTTTATGGCTTGCTAGTTTTCTTTAGGAGAAAGCAATACTAATAGTGAGTCCTTATTTATGTATTATTATTATCAGCCGTATTAAGTTATCGTCTAGCCAGTCTATATAAGCACATGTTCTACTTTCAAGCAAGAGTTGAGCAATCAGTTCTATTTTTTCTCCTTTTCCACTTTTAGTTTTACTATGGTGCTAAACCGCAGACAAGCCGTACCGGATTTCTCGACGATTTGCGAATCAATGTGCTCAGCTGGGTGCCCCGAAAACACACGCCCTGCTTGTACCCCAGGCACAAGCAGGGCTAACCCATCACTCTCCTATCCTGGGTGTCTAGGTCCCCGTCCAAACTTGGACTCCAAGCCCCCACTCCTGAGTCCCGGACTCAGTGTGGTGCAAGGACCTCCACCATCCCCGCCTCCAATCAGTCGGTCCGGAAAGAGCCGGATCCACGATAAGAGAGCAACAAGTCTTTCCTGCGCCCATACCCAAGTATGCGCTCGGGACAATAAATCTGTGACTTGCCTAGAGCCATATGCAACGACCGGTCCTTAATTGACA